TCACAGTAGACGAGCAGCTTGTAGCATTTCGAGGCAAATGTCCGATGAGGCAGTACATGAAATCAAAACCAGCAAAATATGGAATAAAAATATGGGTGGCCGCAGATGTGAAGACTTCATATTTGTACAACTTACAAGTCTACACTGGAAAGCTTCCAGGAAATGCACCAGAGAAAAATTTAGGACACCGCGTAGTATGTGACTTGGTGGAACCACTGTTTGGATCTGGAAGAGGTGTCACTACAGACAATTTTTTACATCCGTGAAGACTGCAGAATTTTTGCTGCAAAAAAGCATCACCATGACAGGAACATTGAGAACTAAAAAAACTGATATTCCTTCAGTTATAGAAAATGCAAGAGGACGAGACATACTTTCATCAAAATTTATATTTTCTAACGGGGTAGCAGTAGTCAGCTATGTCCCAAAGAAAAACAAAACAGTCCGTTTACTCTCAACTCAATTTCTAGATAATTCAGTATCCTCTGAAAGTCACAGGAAGCCCAACATGATACTGGAATACAATAATACCAAGGGTGGAGTGGACAATGCAGATAAATTGATTAGAGAATATTCTTGTGCTAGACGAACCTCAAGATGGCCTCTAAGACTTTGCATGAATATGCTCAATATTGGTGCCCTGAATGCCTTCATAATTTGGATGTCGAAAAACAATGACTGGAATAGACATATGAAGAATATTAGATATCAATTTTTGTTAGAATTAGGCAAAGAACTGACCAAACCCAACATTCTACGAAGGGCAACCAATCTAAATGGTCTCCACCTTCCAGTTGTCAAAGCAATTGAAGCTGCAGGAGTAGTTGTAGCACGCAACACTACAACCCAAAATATACCATCAGCATCAAGGCAGCAGCAGATCAAAAGGGGAAGATGTTCTTACTGTCCCAGAAACAAAGACAAAAGAGTTAACACAGTCTGTGTGTGGAGAATGTAAACGTTTTGTCTGTGAAACACACAGGAAGACAATCACCACTGTGACATGCGCCAAGGATTGCAGGGATAGCAACCAATGATTGATATATATAAATTTATAAATATATTATATACATACATAACATTTACCTATTTTTATTATAATAAATTTTTCATTATATTATTTTAAACGGATGAAAATTTTGAATAATCGATGAAAAGAAGAAAAATCAATTATGCTCAGAATACTTGTTTTACTAAAAAATATCTTAAAACACCCAATAATCATCAAATAACTGAGAAATATCAAAAAATAATTGGGGTCCCTTGAGGACCCCAGCTTGGTAAACAATGTTGATGACATTGGCTTGGTATGCTAAGGGTTAAGCGGCGAGAAAATTTCATCGATTGAGGGAAAAAGTGAATCTAAATATCAACATTGATTACGTAATAATCATTTAAAGTTATGAAAACTGATGTTTTTGAGATTCGTTTTGCACCTCTACAAATTTAACATTCAAAACAAAAATTTGATTTTTTGTAAACTTTATAATCCATTATTGCGCATTTTAAAAATAAAAACTTTTTTATTTTAGAAATTCAGCTTCATGCTATGCTATGTCATGGATTAATTAAACACCTATATGAAGTATCTTTGGACTTCGATCCGCCATTTAGAATTCGTTTGAGGTGTGCGCACATTTGTAGGTAATTCATTAACTTGACGTAACGTGAACGTAAAGAATGGATTCCAAACAAAAAAAAAGTTTGGTTTGGGAATATTTTTCAGTATTGGAAAATGGTACAAAAGTTAGGTGCAATACCTGTGCTATAACTTTATCACGCGGCGCAAAAGATGTAAATGACTGTGGTACATCATCTATGCGTAAACATCTTCGTACCAAGCATTTTGAAAAATTTCGAAATCTTCAGCAAAAGGAGAGTGAAAAAGTGACAACAACAAAGCCTTCAACTTTTACTGATGGACAAACTCAGCTTTGCCAAGAAGGAATAGTTGCAGGTTTTCAAAGGTCTGATAAGTGGAGTGCAGATAATCCACAGTCTAAGGCCATAACTACAGCGCTAATTAGAATGATTGCAATAGACATGCAACCTTTGAGTATAGTGGAAGACGAAGGTTTTAATCATTTTTGTTCAATTGCTATTCCGAAGTATGTTCTCCCATGTCGACGGTATATAACAGAAAAGATGTTACCAAAATTAAAAGTATTTCAATTTCAACAAAATTTTATAATTTATTTTTTAAAAATTATATCCTGTATATAAAATTTTTAAATTCTAATTTAAGCCAAATATTTTTTTTTAAATGATGTTATGTTATTTGTTATTAGAATGTACTTATCTGAACTTCAACTTGCAATTTCTAACAGGAGTCCATTACCGAAGAAATCAAACAACAGATGAATGATGCAGAGGATGTAGTTCTTTCGATGGACATCTGGACATCAAAGTCAACAGAATCCTACTTTGGGATAACTGCACATTGGTTAACCACATCATACGAAAGGAAAATGTTTGTCTTGAATGTTGCACCAATGCACTCAAGACATACAGCCATTAAAATTTTACAGATTTTTAATGTTGTTCTTGAGCAATGGTGTTTACCCATGCAGAAAATTTTTTTAGTTGTTCGTGATGGTGGCACCAACATGGTCAAGGCAATGAAAGATGGTGATGTACCTAGTATAACATGTTTAGCACATGGTATTCATCTAATTATGCAAGAAGGTCTGTTTGCTCAAAAGTCAATATCAGATATGATAACACATTCAAAAAAGCTTGTGGGCCATTTCAAACATTCGCCTTCAGCAAAGAGTAGATTAAAAGAATTACAAAAAGATCTCCAGTTACCTCAACATTGTATTATTCAAGAAGAGCCAACCAGATGGAATACGTGTCTTTCCATGCTGGAACGCCTGCGAGAACAAAAAAGAGCAATAATTGAATATGGCAGTGAGAATGATTTACCGGTGTCATTAACACCAACTGAATGGCAATTAATGGAAAAATGCATCACTGTCCTCTCACCATTTGCTGAAGCTACTAATGCGATAAGCGGTGAAAGTGTTTCAATTTCAATGGTCATTCCGATTATAAAATTGATAGAAACCAAACTACAAGAAAATACATGTGAGGCTGGAGTCCTAACATTAAAAGCAGTTTTATTGGATGAGATGCGAAAAAGATTTAATAATTTTGGTGAAAATAAATTATATGCACTGGCAACAATGTTAGACCCGCGATTTAAGGACAAATTTTTCCTGAAAGAAATTCATAAAGTCACTGCGACAGATAATCTTATTCAAGAATATATGCAACTTGAAACTGATGCTGTTGGGCCTACTGAAATTGAGCAACCAGCAAAAAAAATAAAATTAATGCCAGATGATGGAAGCTTGTGGTCATCCTATAATGTTATTGCTGGTCAATCACACAATTCACAAAATGAAAAAATGGATGGACCAAGGACAACAATTGAAAAATATTTGAAAGAAGCTTTAATTTCCCATGATAAAGATCCATTAATATTTTGGAACCACTGCCGCAATCAGTATCCTCTGTTATCAAAAATAGCCACCACCTTGCACTGTGTGCATAGAAAGAATATTCAAGGTCTCATCGGGGATTACAAAAGGTCGCCATCGGGGATTACAAAAGGTCGCCATCGGTTGTTAATGGATAATGTTGAAACGTTAACATTTTTGAAAGTAAATTTGCCTAGAATAAAACTATCTGATTGATTAGTGAATAATGTAATATTAAACTTCCACTTTATTGATTGTGAAAATTTTTATTTTAATAAATTATAATGAATAATGCTATTTGTTACTGTGTTTAATATAACTAATATTACAATTAACTTGATACAAATACGAATAAAAAATATTTCTTTGGTTCGTCAGAGAAACAGCTTATTTAGTTTTATGACCGCATACAACATGGATCCGGATTCGGATCCATCGTTGAGATCTGGATTCGGATCCAGATCCCAAAATCTTGGATCCGTCCCATTCCTAATAGATAGATTATATGAAAAACATTACTGAGGTTAGTTAGATTGAGAAAAAGAACAGGATAGCTGATATAAAAATTATATTATAATAAATAATATTAATATAAAATTTATTAATTTCTCATAATATAATATATATTAGTATGTTGGTAGACATCTCACGTCCTATTCAACAGTTTGTACGTGTGTGTGCGTGTGTGTGAGTTGTATTAGGAGCTCTCAACTCAACTCACCAGACTAACCACAAAGTTTAGTTCGGTTAGTTAGATAACCGTTTTTTAAATTATGCACGAATGTGAATGCCACCCGAACAAAATGTATCGTCACAATTTTTACTAACCTGCATTTATTTTTGAGATTCTCATTCAAAAACTCTTCGTATTGCAAAACTTTTTCATTCATGGCAAGGCATGATCCTAATATCGCGAGTTTAAGTTCAATTTTAGCTACAGAGAACAACACAGAACATTATATCTCATTATGGATGGTTAAATTATGAATTGTTCATGTGCAATACAGTAAACATCGACGTCTATATGCCATTTACGTTGTAATGAAGTTTTAATAAGATTTTTTACAATCACAAATTACATTTTTTTATATTTATTTGAAATTATATTGTACTTTTGGAATAAATATTTCGGGATGTCACGTAACCTTATATCAACGCATGACGCACATCACATAACTAGAATAATCGATCAATTCGATCAATCGGTCGGGCTATTTGACATGCTTGGATTGTTAGCTTACGAGATTGCATGGATTTTAACGAGCAAGCTATATGGAATATTTACTTGACTTATTATGCTTAAAACATTGTAGTAATTGTATTTAATTGTATTTAATAGAATTATGTACTATTAAATTATTTTTGTTAATTTGAATATAAAAATTGCTTTTGGTCCGGTGTAATCCGGTGGCTTACTGAAGGTTGCCGAAGGTTGGATTACCAGGATTGAACTATAGTCACCTTTTTTACACTATTCGATCATGTTAAAAATTTGTTTGCTTATGAAATAAACGGCCTAAATAAATCAAAGTTGTTATTTGAACAACTATCTTCATTATATTCAATGAATATTTTACATTCTGCTGGTGCTCATAGAAACTGGATGGTTGGTGAAATCATACGTTGGCCTACTGCAGTGGCTTACAGGGTTTCATAGAACTCTTATGATAGCGGTTTTTGTACATATAATGCTTTAAATAAATCAGTATATTCATATCAAAATTATTTTGTCAATATAAATATAGAAATTGCTTTTGTCTGGTGAAAAACAGTGGCTTACTGAAGCCATAGGTTGGCTTAATCGGATTTTTTTTCATGTATACAATTATATGAGATCAATCAATCAATCAACCAACCAATCAATCAACCAATCAATCAACCAACCATCTAACACACCAATCAATCAACCAACTAACTATTCATTCAATCAATTAATCAACCAACCAATCGACCAATCAGTGAACCAAATTGAATGAACCAAATAAACTAAAAAAAAACAAAATAAATAAATAAAATATTTGCAAGGCTTGTTTAAACTCGAACAAACACTAAAACGTACAGATCTACAAACAATTTCGAGATTTTAGTAAAGGAAGGAAAACACAATGGTTGCTTTTATTTGAATTCATTCAAAATTAAAGAGTGGCGGTTAATTAAACTTTTAAAAACGTCAATTTTTTTAAATTCGTATTTTAAATAAACAAATATATCAAAATATCGACGGATAAAAAATAATTATTATCCATTATTATTATTATTATTATACACACTCCTTAGTATCAATAGTTCTCGGTGAATGATTCACGTAAAAATAACATTTAGTAAGAACAGTTCACAGCATAATATAATCGCTAAATCAACATACCAAACAGTAATTATTTATATTTATACGTGCATATATCAAGAAATATCCAGAAATTATATAACCAAATAAAAAAAAAAGAAACCAGTAAACATTTAATAAATAAATAAATATAGACATTATTAGAATGGTTGTTCAAAAAGGTAAAATATAAGGCGACGACGAGAATAAAATGTAGTTTGTTTTGTTGGTGTGGTGCTGTGAAGCAAAAACAAACACATCACACAAAACTAATAAGTTGCCACAAGAATAAGTAGTCAGTCACCTACCAACAATTAAATTACTCTTAGGGCCCTAGCTTACTTATAATCAAACTCAACTCACCTACCTACAAATTTGTGTTTCTACGTTTTAGGAATTTTACATGTTTGTTTCAGGTATTTTATTTAACATATTTTAGTGTTTTTATTTTACTTGAAACTTTTTAACTAATGTTAAACCCTAGCTTACCTACAATTGCCTACAATTGTTCAACTCATGTGTGTGTGTGTTTGTGTGTGTGTGTGTGTGTGTGTGTGTGTGTGTGTGTGTGTGTGTGTGTGTGTGTGTGTGTGTGTGTGTGTGTGTAAATGTGCGGGCGTGTACTCTCCAGACACTTTTTCACTTACTACCGACGAACCTCCATTACACTGACCATCATCTGACACGCATCGATGGAATGAATTTGAAACGGATACTGATAAACACTAAATTGAATAAAAAATTAATTCATTAAAATAAAAAACAAGCCATTGGAAAAAATAGGCAACTTATCTTTTTGAGATAACACTCAATCCTTTGATCAAATTCGAACACTTTCAAAGGTAAAATTGGACAAAAACAAATTTCCCTTTAAATTTATCTTTGAATTGCCATCGGAACAATCATCATGAGACTACCATCTGAAACGTGCTGACGCCCACCACAGCCAACCTTTCATCATTCTGTAGACAAGTTTTTTTAATTAGCGAAGTAGTAATTTAAGAACCAAATGAACGAACGAATAAATGATTAACCGAATGATTGAACGATTGGTTGAATGAATGAATGAAAAAATGAATGAATGAATTAGTCAATCAATGATTTAATGAATGAATCCATGAATCAATTAATGGAGTAATAATTTGAAAAATAGTGATAAAATAAATGAATGAATGAGAGAAAAAAAAGAAATTAAAACATACTTCAATAACCGTCGTTGTTGTTTTCTTCGAATTGTCATTGGAACGATCATCATGAGACCACCATCTGAAGCGTGCTGACGCCCAAAACAGCCAACCTCCGTAGTAGTAAATCAAGGAACAAAGGAACGAACGAACGAATAAATGATTAACTGAATGATTGAATAATTGGTTGAATGAATGAGTGAATGAATGAATTAATCAATCAACGATTCAATTAACAAATAGAATGAAACAACGAATCAATTAGTGGAAGAATAATTTAAAAGGTTGAGTGATAAAATGAACGAATGAACGAATGAGAAAAATAAAAATGAAACTAATTCTTACTTCAAAAATCGTCGTTACTGTAATCCACCCATTGCACCGACCACCACCATCTGGTCGGCACACAAGTCAGAACTTCAGTGTCAGTCGAACAGCCAACGAGCTGATTCTTCCTACACCACCATCATGAGACCACCACTAGTAAAAATTTTGTTAGTTATTATTTGGTCCCTCCATCAAATTTCAAAGTATAAACATTATTAAAATGTGATCCCCTCGTCAAGTTTTTACCACTGTCATCGTGGTTTGATTTTTTTCATCTGCTCCGTACATTTATTTAATTTTTTTTTCAATCTAATCAAACTTGGTTCATTTTATCATTTCCTGCTAGCTCGTTCGCATCATGTCAAACATTTGCATGGAAGAGACTTTAATGTTTTTTTTTCAATAAAATTCCAGTTTTTAATTTCTTCATAATAGCATACTCATTTTTTTCCATTGACCAAAGTTAAACTGTCATCATTTGCTATCGTAAAAGTATTTTTGAAAATATAATTGCTGTTTGGGAATGAAATGAAGCATTTAGAATAGAATAGTTGTAATGTTGCTATAGTTACCTGACCTAATTAGAAATACATAAAAAGTTTTTTTTAGGACAAATTGGCAAAATACGTGATAAACAACTGAATGTTTCTTTCAGAAAATTCACGCAAACCATAAAATAAGAATCTGCAAATGTGTTGACAAGATAAGACAAAAAGTCAAAAAAACAGAAATGTATGTTCATGAAAATCACGATGCAATGATCGGACGGGAGAAGAGAATAAGCTAATGTTAATTCTTGATTTATTTCTACTTCGATGTGTAGAATGGTAACTGATAAATTGTTTAATTTTTTATTTAAAGTTTAAAAATATAAAATGGATAAGATTTTTGATTACTAATTTATTCTTTCAAAAATATTTGATGGATGTTTGTAGATAGACATTTCTCAAATTATCAGACGAATTGCCACTAGCTTCAACATTTTAAAGTTAACTCAGAAAATATTTTCCCGAAAGTTAAATCCACGATTTTCAGCTTCCTTTTACAAGAAATAAAATTTTCAGCAAACAGGTCAATCTTAAAATTAATTGAATACTAACTGAATGTACTCTACTACTAGGTGTCTACAGAAATAAAAATGATTAAATTTGGTAACGAAAACACTTAGATCGCCATGTTCATTTAGTTAATATTTAACTATTATATTTGTTCTTTATTCATTTACTTTATAAACAAACAAATATAGAAGAGCAAAAAAATGTATAGGATTGGAGGAGACAAACTTCACATTGGTATTAGCGAGTTAACTATTAATATTTATGTAAAGATATAGATGAATATAAATGAGAAATGAACATAAACTCATAACAAGGAACAACCGAAGTCTTGGCAAAAACAAATTTAATCAAAGGGTTCAAACGTTGCGTTCAAGAGCAAACATTTATCAACATTATTTTTCAAATATAACCAGATCAGAGACTCATTTTTAAATCGAATTGTAATCCAACAAAATTTCGAAAATATACTCGCAACAAAACCTGAACGACGACTCTTTCTGATTACTATCTGCACATAATTTTTACTATAAAAAATTTATTATTTTATAATTAATTCAGATCAATATTAAAAGTGAATTAAAAAATAAACGTAATCTTCGTTCGCATTCTGAAACAACACTTTTTGTTGGTTCAAAGTATAATATTCTTCAAGTTATTCTGTAAAAAAAACAATTTCCATTTATTTTAATTTAAAAAGATCTCATTCTAAATTATACAATCACATAAACAAGCTAGTTAAATATAATGGTTTTCTTTTTAAAATTACCCATAAAATAGCTTAGTAGGCTTTAAGTTGGTTCACATATTAGGTTGATTCACGTTGATTCACATAATTATATTGGAATGCACAAACACAAATACAAATTTCACAAATTTTCACGTAGAACGATTAGTGCCACACAATAACTACATCTACGATATATCTAATTTATTCAGTAAATCTTTTGAAAGCGGCAAACAACGCTTCACGCAACATTCTCAATAAATATGTGGACTATATAATGTGACTAACTTTATCCTAACAACTATAATAATATAAAAATATTCACGTTTAAAAATATTACTAATTATTACTAAATCTATAAATACAAATAAATAAAAACGAATAAGAAACAATACAAATGATAATTTCATTGACTAGAACAAAATTTTGTTTCAGAATATTGTCGCAGATTTAGTACGTGGTCGGGTGAATAATGGTTAAAATTATCTTAATTATTTAGCACCATTACAACATTTTAATTTAAAGTATTATAACAACGAGACCTCAACATGGCATCTATCAAATATATTGAGCGATAGTAAAACTCGAAAACAACCAAAAAAACATCGTTCATTGAATTTGGTCCGACCAATTGAACGGAATAGAAGGTTGGTGAGGAACTCACTGCCTGCAAACGATGACCGGACATGGGGCATGGTGGACCACGTAGTCGCTGACACTTCCCATGATGGTCCTTCTCACCTTGCCCAGCCCTCTCGTGCCCACAATGATCATCGTGGCATCCTCCTCTTCCGCCACGCGACAGATTGTTTCGCCCTTCTTCGATCCACTCTCTGTCCGCATGCGACCGCTGATCTGCATCAACAGGAGTTCAACATTTATTCTTTTTACAGATGCAAACTTAAAATATTTTTTATTTATAATTCAGGTTGTAAAAAGGTTCATTTTAATAGTTTCGTTCTATCAAATTATTATTTTACATAAACAACATTTTTTATTCATCTGAAAAGACAAAAAGAGTCATCAAGGGATAGCTGGAACAAACCGTATGCAACATCATTGCAACATCATTTAAATAGATCCAAACACGAATCGTGCTACTCATTGAAGTCTTTAATTTTCTACAAAAATGTTTAGCGTCAAATCATTCAGATGAAAAGTTGATGACAAAGTTATTTAGTGATTGATGGTAATTAGTCTTTCACAAACTCTGAAAAATTATCTTCAGGAAAATTTTTACTTCTAGCATGATATAGAGGGCGACGTTTCTTTCTCGTCACCTTGAAAAAATCCTTTGTCTCTAGATTATTTTAATTAGTTTTTTTTATAAAAACAAAAAGAATCATTTTCGTGAAGCAAAAAAATGTTTCTATACAAAAATAAATTTTGCATCTAGGAGCTAGAAAAAACTACTATTGGTTGATAAGGCTCATATAGGATTATTATTATTATTCGAAAATTTTATAGCGCTAATTACAAACAAAATGTTTCTCAAAAGCACTATCTAAAAAAACAGTTGAATTGCTACGATAAACCAAATTTTATAATGAAAACAAAAATGATTTCAATAATTTCTTGAAATATATTGCAGGTTATTTATGATTCAAACGTAATGTGATAATACATTTACATTAAAAATGCTAAACTTAATCAAATGATAAATAAAAAGCAATCACAAAATAAATAAGAGAAAATAAAAATATTTTCAAGCAGACACGATAAGAGTAATTTGCCTTTATTATCAGAGATTCCCATTGAGCAATGAATTACACTTAACTTCAGAGCAAATTGAATGCCGATGACTCTCAACAAAAACATCTTAAAATTTTATCTCCAAGTATCACGTTCATTAGTCGTGCTCTGAAAAGAATTCATTTTAAAAGCGAAACGATTGGCTAGTCTTGAATTGCCAAGTTAATTTGTTTTTTGTGTTTTTGTAGGAATTTTTGTAGCATATAAAAAAATAGTTAAGTTTAGGAAATATAACTTAAATAAACTTAAATAAAACTTAAAATATAAAAAGCCAATATCTCCCAGCTGAACTTTTATGATGATAAACTTTAAATTACGACTTGTTGATTAGCTGCAACGTGATTAGCCACCCAGGCTTCCATTTGCGTGTCTTTTTGTCTGATTCTCTCTCTCTCTCTCTCTCTCTCTCTCTTTCTCTCTCTCTCTTTCTGTGTGTGTGTGCGTGTGTGTGTGGTGTGTGCGTTTCTAAAAATACCTTAAAATATAAAACCGAAATGTTTCATATCTACAATTTTTTGAAATTTTAACATTGTTTAAGTTGCTAAAAATGGTGTTCTATTAGTTATTTACAAAAATCAGTAATTTTCTTTTTAGTTCGTTATGTTTGACGAGCCGACAGAATTCAAGACGTCAAAATTTCAAAGTCACACATGTTGCGTTTGAAAAAATTCTATTGTTAATGTCATCTATAATGAAAGATTTTTTTTCTACACGTGATTTTCAACAAAAAATTTTTCTCCCCGTTCGTCTTTGTCACTTAGTTGCGTGTTAACCAAGCTTCGCCATTCATCCTGCACGCCTCCTGAAATAGATCAACAATGGTTGTTTAGAATTTTCAAAATGAAGTTATAAAAATCGTTACGTGAATTTTTTTTATTTCATTTGTCATTGTGCTGTTGAGATATTGAAAGAAATGAAGAAATTGAAATAAAATGAATTTTAATTTTAAAATAAACTTCATTCATCGGTAGGTAACCAAATACAAAAAAATTTGATCATGTGAAAAGCTTGTGCCACGCATGAATAACGAATGACTATCGAAAGGTTTAAAAAAGATATAATTTGTCATCATTTTCATTTACCCTTTCCTGCATCGTAAAACGTGCACATCATTCTAATGATGACAGATATGTTTAGATATACTTAAATTACTCATAGGATTGCATATTCATGATATGCAAATATTTTAATACGCCGCATTATATTCATCATATTGAAATTATGCATTTCAATCTAAGCCAAGTTTCAGAACAGAGTCTTTCACTTCATAGTGCAAATGAACTGAGCGTGCAGTCGATGCTTGCTCGTGTTGAGGATGTCAGGGAGGACAGGACGTCGTACGCATGGCTGGAATAATTTCTGCTGCTGTCTCGTGTTGTAATAAACGCACAGGATGTTACACGCTTTCCTGCTTCATATACCGCTGGCATTTCAACATTGTTCCGTACTATAAGCATCATGCATTCCTGGGCACTACATCCAACATTTACTAAACATCGCTTTAACTGGAACGCATAATTATTATTTACAACAGTATATAGAATGAATTAAATTACCAGAAATTTTACATAAAAACTGCAAAAACGAATTAGCCGGCTCAAAAAATGCCAACGATGTTTTACTGAGAAGGAAAAAGCTGAACAAAAAAAAAAACATAAAAAATTGCTGTGAGCTCAAAAAACGAAGCAATACATATTTCACATTTAAAATGCTAACACCACATGAACGTCAACACCGTGTTAACAATCTCTGACGTTGCACTGACATTTCCCATTTCCTATAATGATTTTAATGATGCTTTGTTTTTTTATAATTCGACTTTGTTGGAATTGTGAAATAAAAATTAGAAGTATCATCGTTTCAAAGAGATATATCTTTAAAAATGTGTTCAATTTTCTAATATAACAGCTTATTATTGCTTGGAAAAACAGATCATTAAAACTTTTAAGCTAAACTTAATAAGAAACCTTTCTACTTAAATCTTGGGAAGTAATGAAATTGAAGGTATGTTTGATGAGAACAATTTATTAAAAGCTAGTTTTTTAACAATCCAGTAAAAATTATTCAATGCATCAAACAAACACGCGTTAAACTTCATCCTGGCTGTTAACGTTAGGTTAATTAGTTTTTGAATGCAAACAAACCTGTTAACACACACATAAAGCACACATACACACAACACACACATTCATAGTTGAGGATGAAAGAATTGCCAACCAGCCAACCAACAGACCAACCAACAGGCAATCTTATCTCGCCTGGTGTTTACAAGCTACTTCAACGGTGTTTAACAATCCACTTGTTCACTCCCTTTCATACACGCTTCATGGGCTTCGTGTTGAAAGAACATTCAATCATTTTTGGTTTCACATTTTAAAATATTTTCAGTAATTATTAAATAAATTAATCTTTACATTTATATTGTCATACAAAACTGTTATCATTTAACGATTTTTTTCAATATTTTTATTTTCATAAAATAAAACCACCACTACTTATTCCTTTAATAAAAAGCACTGGTGTTAAATTGGAGTGTTTTTCACTATCAGCAGCTTATTTTGTTGCAAAATAAAATAAGAAGAAATTGTTTTTTAAAGCAAATTTATACAAATTCAATAAAAATTTTGGTGTTTGTGAACGAAATGTTGACAGAATGTCGAATGTCTAACCCAGTGAGCTATCAACACTTTCATAAAAACAAAAAAAGCTATGATGTATGAAACAATTTTTTTTTAACTTTTTAATAATATTAAATAAACAAATTTTAACAATGCATAATAATTACAATAATAGAAGACATTATAACTGATAAGAAGTACAATCCTCAATACAGTAGTCAGGATTTTGAATTGAAGAAATGTAACAATAGGACTTTCAGGAAAGCTGCAGTACCTTAGCTCACCTGCCTGCTAGGAACTTAAACATCATTATTAATGTATAAATAACGAAAGTGGAAGATTACATCTCACGTTAGCAAATGCATTCATACATGCCTAAAACACCTAAATTCATTCATTCATACATAAATGCCTTTCTATGCGAAGCCCAAAAACCAACATTAAATAGCGCGAGTGAGCAGCGAGCAGGAAAAAAGATAGATTTCAATGGCTATATATAGGCTAACACACACACACACACGCACACACACACACACACACACTCACTCACACACACACACATACACATACACACATATTATTCACGTATCACGTAACATATTTGATAAAATAATTTTCTAAAAACATTTTGAAAGATTATATGATAACCTTGAATAAAAAACAAACAATAATAATTGCTAATTATTCATATTTCTAACAAAAAAAACATGCTGGCATTAGTCATATAATTAGTCATAAGGTTGCTATCTGTCGCAAAAAATGGTTCCAGATTTTTGCTTACAACGAAGAGATAAATGTATATTCTTGTAAAGATAGAAACTAGAGCAATAAATTAATTTAGTAAAAAGTTACGATTTTGTAAGCAGAGTAGAATTAACAAAAAGTGCGCTGAAAGAACATGACAGAAAAATTCCAAACATCAGCACATGAACGTCGGCATGTTATATTTGCGCATCAATTTCGAAGACACGTGTATCCGCTCACGACGCTAATGTATTTTATTTTTAATTTCGTTGGAACGTGAAAACAAAAATTACATTCAATTATCTGATTACTGAGACGAAAATATTGAAGGAAAAACAACAAATATTTAAAAAAGATATATATTTCAAATGCACAAACATGAAAATTTTCTTATATCAATTTAATAACTTAAAATACAGTTAAATCGCCGCTGGAAGAAGGAAGAATTTAAAAAATCATTGGGATTGAAGTTGTTTACGATGCATATTCGGTTCACGATTCTCAACATATAAATCACTTTGGTATTCCAGATTATGTGATGTATTATTTAAAAAATGAATTTCTTTATTGCTTTTTAAAGAAAACTTAATTGACATAAATACATAATCAAATAAGCGGTTACGTTATTTTATTAAAAAACATTATTATTTTAGCAATTCTTCACAAGAGCTCTAATTTGTATTATTGTGTTTTACTTTTAAAATTGATTTTTAATTTTGCATTTATTCTTAATGGCGTGTGTGGATATAAAGAATGCCAGCAACATAATTTTCAATTTTGTAAAACATTTTTTAGTAACCAACTGAAACAATCCCTACTCAAATTAGAATCCTCCATTATTTTTAATACTGTTTGAATACATTTATAAAAGATATTTTTACAACTGTGTTTCTCTTTTTTAAAATAGTTTCTATTCCACAAATAATTTTATTACATGCATCATGAGATATTGTTTTACAATTTTTTATATAAAGATTTTTATATTCTTCAAACCAAAAATAAATTTGCGAAATTGCAAGCAGTAACTTTTTTATACCTCGTTGATCTAGCAAGACAGTTAATCAACTTTTAAATCAGACGGCAGAGTTTGCTTGTTGGTGGTTGGCTTTGAGGTGACCGATTATTATTTTCTATGTCTCATTCCTCTTCCTTACTACATTAACCCCCTGCATGTTATTTGACTTTTCTCAAAAAATTCTACAAATTGTTTTTCAGTTGAAGTTAAAACTTTTACATAATTTGTACGATCAGCATTTTATGTATGAGCTGTTAGCGAGTTTTGTGGCAATTTGTTTCTAAGTCTGTAAGCAAATTAGTTCATCTTATGCTTGGAATGTGTGCAAACTAGTGGTGTGTTTCTATTTTAAAGTCACATCAATCTCTATATTGTACAGGCCGTTAAAAGTACATTAGAGGCATGTGAACTTCCTGATGTATTGATATAATATCAAATCATTTTAGTATCGAATCGTTATACTATCGATTCGTTATAGTATCAAAAGTATCGTATTAATTTATATTCTAATATCCATAAAAAATGTTTTGATATAAACCAGTAAACCAACCAAGCTTTGTAATTTAATTGACTAAAACAAATGTTCAGCTAAATTTTTTTGTTTTGAAGTTTTTTGTTGGTTTAGTTTGAAAATTATATAATGTCCCCATTTTTATAAAAATAAATTAAACTGAAAATGTTTTAAAAACTATTTTTGTTATTACTTTTTAAGTGCATTGTATGTTTTGTTGTGAGTTAATAAAATGTTTTACAAAAGAAATTATCGTAAACAACAAAAATTTAAAGCAAGATAAAAAATTCTGCTTAAAAGATAAAAACTTGAACATTAAATTTTAATTTGCATACAATCTAAGCCCCATATTTTCCGATTTAGAAACGGCTCATATTTTTTGAAGCAACAGATCTAAACGAATAACTACTACTACACACAAACACAACACACGTATAACACACACGCACACACACACACACACACATATATATATAGCAGAAACAAAACAGTTAAACCCCAAGAATTTAAAAAAAGAATGCATCAATCAAAATTACGATATCGTTTTCAAACCGCGCGAACACGAAACGAAACAAATCAACCAACCATCATATAAAATATCTCATCCATGCATATGCATATTAAAGCGTTCATTCACATATATTGTGACGTACAAGCGTACATACACGCGCACATGCATACACTTATACATACATGCGTACGCTCCTACTTGCGTACGTACGTTTTTATGTACATCCATTCATATAACCGTACGTACGACGGCAGCAGGCAAACAGATCTTCGTAGGCAGATAGTTATCGATTATATTAATGCACTGTCCTGCCAACCTACCAACCAACCTCTCACTTAATTGTCGACGTACAGTCATTTTTAAGGTTTGAAATTACGTGCCATTTTTTCAATCGTCTTTTTTAATTTATTAAGATGTTCTAATGATGTCAAAAAGATTTACGTTCAATGAATTTGCAGTAGACGATCGTTGTTGAGGGGAGTTCGACTGCAACATCTGATCTTACCTGCATGGTGTGTAGATTTGGTGGGAACGAAATAAATGCGCTGTGTGTTTTAGTGTTGAATCAGTGCCAACATATGTCATGATGGTCCTTCATAAATTATTGATTGTGTTTTCTGATATGTTTCAATGTGTTTTGTTGGGTTGTGTTATATTAACGTAATGCTATGCTACGTTATTTTATGCTACGTTATGTTTTTTTATGTTGGGTTTTATTATGTTATGTCGTCTGGTATACTTCTTCATCCTCTGCTAGAACATCACATCCGTGGGCTATTTATTTCAATTATTCCTCCAAAAAAATTGTAATTTATGTCATCAGATTATTATTATTTAAATTATTTTCTAAATAACAATTTTTCATTTAAATATTTTACAGATTTTTTTTCCGTTCTTTTTTACATAAACTTTATAAATGCGGCATTTATTAATTAAGCTGGTATTATTTCTTAGTAGCCTTTTTTTAATTTTATGAAAAAAATATAGTTTGATTATCTCAATTGATCGTATAATTTGAAGAGATATCAGATGGATTTCATCAAAGGCTTATGATCACATTTAAAAAAAATTTTCGATGAAAATGAAAAAAATTTATTTTATTATATGCAATTTGTTTTTCAATGCATCGACACGCAAAGGAACGACAACGTGAACGCAATCAAACGAACGTGCAAAGTTTCTTTTTAATCAAACATCCACAAACAGTGTAAACAACAAAAGTGGCATGTTACAGTGTTTCTTCTATCTGCTGAACATTACCATAACATCAAACCGCACACAACAGACATCTGTGTTGCCTTCTTCTCCTATCTGAACATCTCGACAAACATTAAGCTGCAAACTCAAGTGTTCATTTCCTCCTGGAGAGCTCTGGTTAGCGCGTGAAAACAATTTAATATCTGCATGCAAATATTTTCTCAAAATAGCAAACTTTTGATGATAAAAATCTTTCCATAGATTAATTTCTTCAGTTTTATGCGTTTCAAAAACTTTACAACACCTCCACAGACACATCAAATAACTTGTAAAACAATTGGTGAACGATCTGTTAAACAGATCATAACAACATATTCATAAACTGGAATCCACTTTGTTTCAACATAATAGTTTAAATAATTTTTTTATTTTATTGCTATTCAAATGTTCCAATAAAAAAAAATTAGCAAGAAAATCATTCTAAAGCAATTTTCAAATACTGTTTAATTTTCAACATAATAGTTTAAATAATTTTTTTATTTTATTGCTATTCAAATGTTCCAATAAAAAAAAATTAGCAAGAAAATCATTCTAAAGCAATTTTCAAATACTGTTTAATTTGAGCATATTTGGTTTCATAGGTATCTTACATTCATCTATTATAAAATTTGTTTGTTCGTATAATGTATCCCATAAAACTACATATCATAGCTTACATGTGAATTTTTAAGATATAGGTACAAATCTTCAATCTATTCAAAAAAAGAAAAATAATTTCATTTAATTGATGACCGCAGAAAGTTTAGTGTTTTTAAAAATCTGCTTGAAATGACTGTTGGTGAAAATAAGAGTGTCTGTCTATCTTGAATATGTTGTTGCGCAATTGCCAGGTTCGATAGCTCCATGAACAAAACTCAAAAACCATCAAGTACCAGATTTGCCGGAGCTAGATGACGAAAAAGTAGAAAATGGTATCGCTCAATGATCGAGACTGTTTAGAAAATCTTGTATTTGTCACAGTGATGAAGTTGCATAGTCTTAATGTCGATGCTTTATGGAAAAGATGATGTATAATGTAAAGATGTCAATATTTGTCCAGCGTTCCATTTCTTGAGTGCCTTTTTGGTGATGAGACAAGTTGGCGAATGAACGTTAAAAATATTAATAGAAACATTTTTTTAAATTTTATTCCAAACAAATAGATAAGGGTTAATGTTTCTAGGTGTCTGTTAGATGTTATTTCACATCATGTCGTTGAGTTGTTCTGAAAAAATCATTGCATGTAGATATGATGATGGTGTCAAATTCAACTGCCACACTGAATCATTCTTTTTGTTTTCTTTATTTTTTTTCGCTTTTCATTTTAACCTTTTCAACATTATTTCCTTACGTGCCAATCATATTTATAATTATACAAAAAATTCTTTCCAACTTTTGGTTAAGAATTGTAGATAACGCCGGTAAACAGAACGTTCAATGATGATTCTTAAATAAGACACGAATGCTACTACTGCTGCTACTATTATTGCTTTTACTACTACATATTATTATTATTTAATATAATAATAACATTTGAAGAAGAATGTTTTCTAAAATTATTTATTAAATTTAATAACTAAATAAATACAAATATATATCCTTTTCATTTTGTAAACAGGTTCAATGCATTCAACGCTACTCTAAATAATTCATTCTTTCATCTAGTCATTCATCTTCCATATTGATAATGAATATTTGACGACGGTTATAACGGTGATGAGGAAGAATTATTGCAATGATAATGCCACTGGAGCCACAAAAAATTCTTCAAGTTGGAATGAAGTAAATGAGAAATATTTTAATAATAATGCCACCGAAAGAAATTTTTTTATAAAGTTTGGATGAATGAAATAGACGCACCCCCTTCTCGAGGATCCATCCATTGTACTTGTCCTCCATGCTCTTCACTGTCTGCGGTTCCTTCTTCGGCGTGTCCTCGCTGGACTCTGCGGGCGTTTAAATCAATTTCTAGTGTAAATATTATTATAATTTATTATTTGTTTTTTTTATATTCATTATTTTATTATTCTATCTATTTATTATTTTTATTTTATTTGTTATTTTCATTATTTTTCATCTAAATTAAAAAATGTCCTATAGGAAAATGACAAAAGCCTAACTTTTTTCTTTACGTGAGACTAAAATGTTTTAAGTCCAAAATGTTTTTCCCTCCCATTGCATATATTTGAAATATAAATAAATTATGCAGATGTCTCGGTATTATGCAAATGATTGTAACGTGAAATGAATTTTAATAAGCGGGTGTTTTCAGTACGTTGCCATCCACCGGCTTATAATATTATTATCTACAATTCTCACGAGAGCTTCTAGATTACATAGTTACAACAAAAACCGCCAGCTCAGTAGTGACCGGTCCTCAATCTTTTCTTCATTTTTGTCCTGTCGGCAACTTAGATGGGAAGTATTGTTATTGGCATTGATTTTAATAACGTTGATTTTATTATTGTTGATTTTTATACAAAAAAAAACATTTACATAACTTCGTTTGGTAGACAAATTTGATTGTCTGCTTGTTATCTCTATTGATTGAAATTTATGATATAAAAATAGACCGATTTGTTATTATTTTTATAACTTTTATTTTTAAAATGTTTTCCAATCAAGTAATTGTAAAATATTGTATATACACTGTAATTGACACTTTAGGATTTATTTCAAGAAATTGACTCCATGTTAGACAGAGCGTGACGTGCGACGTACTTGATAACCCTGAAAATGTAAACCTCCATCATGTAATGTAATAACATTAATACCATTAATAGCATTAATAACTGCTTGAAACATTAGGATTGGATTAAATTATTTGTTGTACAAATATCGCGTGATCCTTTCTTTAAAAAAATGTATCACCTTTTCGCGTCTACATTCAATTCAAACGTTCAGAACACGTTAAAGAAACAGTCTGTCGTTGTGTACATTGTACTGTACGTACATGGTGACATAATAGTACATCTCATGACAATCTTCAAAAATTATTACTTTATTTCAAAATTTGCAAAACTTGTTTCTCACATTTGCAAAACAATAACTCGCTCCACGATTTTTTTCTATCTTAGTCAGCTCATAGACTGCAGTTTTGAAATTTTAATTTGGTGAAAAAAATGTTGACAGCTAACTGTTTTTGTAACAATTTATTACATTTGCAATTTTTAATGATTATTTTTCATTTAAATTTTAAGTTTAAATAATTAAAACTTAATTACAACTACTTTGACGTTTCGTACAATCTAATTCAATTATCATATTCATATTATTAATTTAATTTAATAATATATTTAATTAAATATTTATATTAATTATTTTAGAACCGTAAAATTCATAGACAATAGATTTTCATAAAATATTGATACATTTATGACACTAAACACACGAAATTGCTTCCTTGAGTTTACTTATTGCAAGCCAGTGTAACGCGGTATCGGTCGTTGCACTCAGGTCAATCGCGTTTCAAATTCAGTTCTACAATATTTCAAATTCAGTCATATTAAATTTAAAAACTCATCTAAATTTATTTCGTTTACGTCATCCATTTTGTTTTCACACTTTATGAACCGTTGAATTTCGTTCGATAATATGATTATAAGAAGTTTGCAATTCTTTAAATTTCATATTTTCAAATTTTCCAACAGAAGAAAAGGAATTTGTTCAACTAGAAGTAAGAATAGATATTTTTTGAAGGCATTTAAGTAAAAATTTTCTTTGATAATTTTTATTAAATTTTGTCACAATTACATTACCGATTGGGTGGTTTAGTGGGTCCTAAAGGCGAAAATAAAGAAGAAAGTAAAATTTAAATTTTGCTGATTGATCTCGGTAATATATCCTGATTTTCGGTAAAAAATTCGGATTATCGGTGAAAGATAAAATACCGCAAACCGCATAAGCATACTTATTAAAATTGAAAGTAAGATTTGTGTGTAGGAACGCTATCAAAGTCGGTAGGAGTCAGAATTTTTGTCGGAGTCGGAATTTTTTGAGAGGCCGAGTCGTATATTTTTCATCCGAATCTGAAAAATGTTAAGTAATGAAAAAAATATGTATTATACAAAAAATGTTTTAAGATCAAGAAGATGAATACGTGTAGCGATACACAATCACATTAACCACATGCTTTGTAACATAAATATAAAACAATTTTACTGAAAAAAATAATTACGCTTATTACGCTGACTCGCTGGCATCTAACAACAATTTATCAAACAAAAATAAACAGAATAAAAAATAAACATCAAAACAACTCCACAATATATATTCCAAAAAATGTCTCCACCAGTGTGCGACATACGCAAAACTTAACTAACAACTGCCACATAATTTTACAACAAATCTGGGAATCGGAGTCCGATGAAAAATATCCCACTCCGGTTTTTCAAACTCAGAATAAAAAGTTCTGACTCTGAATCCCAATTTTTTCAACTTTTACATCCTAATTTACTTAAATATTAAACTACTAAATAAAAATACTTTAAAACACACAAAATCAGTTAATGTATATGTTTTTCTTAGTAGCCCTAAAATTATTTTATATTTATATTTTTAAAAATACTGGACAAAAATTATGTTTTCACGTTATTAACATTTATTTTCGATATTATAAATGATTGCAAATTGCTACACATCTTCTAAAAAGGACGATCTTAAAAATATATTTCGAAGAAAAAAATTTCAAATTCATGACACTTTCCAGAGTCGAATGAAAAATATCCGACTCCAACTCCGGCTCCTAAAAACGTTCAGACCCAGGCAAAATTCTTCGACTCTGACACTGCAAAAAACAATTCTACCGTACTAAGCATTCCTGCAAACATGCAAATACTCTTCAAAACTATTCCAACGTATGCAATTTATTGAAATATTTAACAGAAGCTGACCTAATCAAAAGTGTCTGATTGGAAAAGAAAAAGTTTCTGGCGGATATAGACGCAATTGATCTAAATCGCCATTTAATCGAATCAAACAAAATTTTAAAATTTTATTCATTTGTTCTATCATCCATTTAAACAATTATAATTAATAAATAAATTAATTAATTAGCATATATTTTAATTTAAAAAATGCTTTCTTTATAAACACTATTCAAAACAAAAAATTCCAAAGTGTGCATAATCACCAAACAAGTTGACTTCATTTAAAACGTGACAAACTATTTTTCTGGATTTCGCCACGACAAAGAAGCACGCCAGCCTCCAGACACTCATTTGAACGACGGAAGAAGAAGTGGGGACCGATAAATTAAACGTGCAAGGTGTTCATGATAGATACGATGAAAAACTTATGGAATCATTAAATTTCTAAAATTAAAAAATTCTTAAATTTCTCTTAAATAAAATTTTTAAATTTCTCGTTGCTTAAAATAAATCAAACGAACAGGTTCAACTAAGAATGTATTTTGACTGTTCGTGATATTATCGGCATTAACAATAATAAACAGAATATAAATATAGATGAGCTATACAATTTTTTGTATAATTTAGTTAACTAAAGGTTTTAGAAATCTTTTAAGAGAGAACTGAGGACACTCACTTGAATTGAAAACAAACCAACTCATAAGCGGAGATACAATAGAGACGGGGGAACAGGTATGAAATTATAAAATTTGGATTGCATACTAAAAATTACAAATTTGTAGTAAGTGTTGAATAACAAATATATTCTTTTTTTGTAAGTATATTCAAGCATTAAAAATTCATTGAAGGTTTTCTTAGGCTATTCCAAAACATTGACATCTTTTTATATGAAACCATCGATTTTTTTGTTATGAAATATGTTTTCCAGCTAGGAGAGCATTGAACATGTTCATAAAGGATTTGTTTTAAAATAAAGTTTTATTCGTGTTTGATAATGGTTTCTGGTTGAAACACCTAATTGTTTATTTTGACAAGCGCTTGGCTCGTTGATGCTAGTACGTGATTGCGGTTGTTTTGCATTTATGTTTGTTTTCGTGTTTGTTTGCTTGGTTTGGTGGTTGCTTGGTTTAAAATTGTTGTTGCTGTTCCAGACGAAAATTTCAATTAATTTTCTTCTATTCCTATTGAATCCTCCACAAGACAGACACGTGTTTCGTATATAGCTAGCCATTAAACCCTACTTGCATGCTTCCACACAATTTAAACTCATTGAACGATTTTATATTTCCTGAAAACATTTGTTACAATCATTCTAAAAACACAACAAAATCTAAAAAAACAGTCCAGCCGCTGTTGCATAATTGAGTGCTTGCTAGTGCCATCTATGGCCCAAACAGCGCATCGCATATTGGTGTTTAGTAGGTTAGTCTAAGTCATCATGGTGGTATATTGGTTAGGTGTACATGCTAGGATATGTTTTAGAATGTATGTCTGTGTGTGCGTTTGGGTGTATGTTTGCATGTATGTTTGCATGAATGTTTGTATTTATGTAAGTATGAATGTTTGTGCATATGTTAGTATGCATGTTAGTATATTAGTTTGTATACACGTTTGTAAGCAGTTGAAAGGAATCGATCATTCTGCTAGATTATTTAGGTTTTCACGCACTTGGTTGGCATCGGTCGATTAGATCTTGTAATAAATGGATAGTGTGTATGCAAATTAATACTCTAAAGATGTAATGTTTAACTGAAATGAAACAACTAATACATTTTTAAAGTAAACAAATGACTGTCTGTGCCCACGTAAAAACTATTTGGAATATATTCTGTTTGTTTCAAAGTGTGCCGTTCCTACATATATGTAGGCGAATATCTGTAATATATGAGTGAACAAAAGGATTGAACAGACAAAAGCAGTGAGGTAGATGAAATCGCTAATAAAGAATCATTTTTTGTTCAATATTATTTATTCTGCATGAGCATACGGTAGGACTGGTTGAATGCTTCGTGCGAACGCTGCGCACAAAATTCCTGCGCACAGATCGATAAGAAAGTTCGTTCTGTGTTTCTCCGTTTTATGTTCCTTTGTTGACACGGAACAGGAAGTAGCAACGGAAACAGCGGCAGAGATGACAACAAAATCATTAATATATTAATAGATGCCAAAAATTTGATGTGAACGATGGCATCAAGCGCAAACAACAACAACAACCATTCCAATCAACAAAAACTAATATAAACACATCAATAAAATTTCTTACTCAACGAGTATTAAAATAAGTTTATAAGGATGAAATGTTCAATTGATTGGACAAAAGTAATTAAAAAGTTAGTAATCATTCAACTTTTAAATCATTTAAAGTTTGTAAGCAGTGAACGCAAAAAGAAATAAAAATAAATAAATTCTTCGTGAACAGAAGCAATATCGTGATAAATATGATAGTTGTAGAATGTAAACGCAGGATGCAGTAGTGATGAGTAGATTAATATATGGATTGTACATATTAATAAATGCCCACAGAACTCTGAACGAAACACGTCAGCCGCAAATATTTGCGAGCAGTGCACATAAATAAAGAGACACGATTACAGAGAATCTCCATGCTATACGATACATATTACAGCTAACACAGGTACAACTTACAATGAAATACTACATGTTATTTATTTGTATTAAAAAGTAAATTTATGTTTGTGTGTTTGTATGTGGGTTTGTGTGTGTCTGTGTCTGTCTGTTTTTGTGGTTATACGTGCTAGTTCATGCCGTGTGGTGTAGTGGACAGGCTCTTGATTGGTTTGACGCCGAGACATCTGTCCGATTAATTGAGGAAGCAAATGAATGTTTTGTTTGCGATGTTTTGCCTGGTTGAGTCGCCACCAGAGTTTTCTGTGGTATGTCACATCACGGCAACTCATACCACGGTCTCAAATGGGAACTAAACATTAGAAACTGGATGTATGGCATAATACATGGATGGATTAAAAAAGAAAATTAAAAAGGAACGACAGCGTTTCTATGCGGAAAAACATTCTAGCTATTTTTTGAGAGCAAGAGCAAAAAATTGAAAATCTCTAAAATTAAATTTGCATTTAGATGTTTAAATAATGCATGCATGGATGGATAATTCTTCAACGGGTACATGAAACCTGCTTAAGAATTTGTTTGCTCAAGGAAATGCCTCAAAATAAATTATACTACCAATTTAGAAAAAAAAAACAATTTAAATATGGCTGTCAAGAGGCATCACACTAAGTTTAATTTTCTAATATACGATTTCAACTGTTATGGACTATTCCTTTTTGCGTTTGAAATACGTTAGCTAATAAATAGAATATTTGTGAACACAAATATTACAGATTTGTTTTTCAATCTTATGATGGTGGCATTGAGATTAATTAAAATATTTTTTAAACATTCCCACGTGACTTATAAAAAAAAAACTAATTAAAAATTCAAGGAATAAAAATTAAAAATTATTATGCTCCAAAACTAAAGATCCCAAAATTATTTTTAAAATTAATTACTTAAAATGTCAATTACGGGTTTGTAAATTAAAATTTAATTTGTAAAAAATTAAATATTAAAAACAATATGAATTCCTAAAAATTAGAATTTAATTAAAAAAATAGAAGAGTTCCTCACTTGCGTCAGTCGAAGTGACGTTGATGAAGAGCAGTATGACCTCATTTTCCGGCCTATGCACTGTTGAAAGGTACCCTGCATGCGTGGGGTGGGTTGGTCTACGTTGTGGTACTAAGTAGTATTGCGATGTGGTGTCACGTTACGTTGTATCGTGATGTGGTATTACGTTATGTGGTGTTATATTTTATAATGTTGTATTATTGCACTGTGTCATGCGTGTTTTCATTTTATTTCTTTTTTTTGATGTTCATTTTTCTGTCAGACATAATTACAATCATTTAAAATATTTTTTGAAAAATTTGACAAATTAAATTATTGAATGACTTTTTAATGCAATGCTGTAATAAATAACGCATCGCCTGAGGGCTAGAAAAGTCACATCTTTCTTTGTTTGCTTCCAACTGGTGGCAAATCTAAGAGCCGGGGAGGTAACAGTATCTTTTAAAGATTCAGTAAAACTCAGTTTTTGCATAGAAAAAACACCGTTTTATGTAGAAAATCTAAAAAAATTGACGTAATAAGCAAAAAAATCGCTTGCCTAATTTTGGCACTGTCAAAATTATTTAAACATTTTCAAAATTTTTGCCCCCTCCTTGTTATTGTTTAGATCCGCCACTAGTTTTCAATAAAAATTTTTGATTAACATTTGATAAACTTACAGTTATATTGTACAAAACTGAAAAAGATTTTGTGATATAACCGTATAATTCAGAGCACTTTTTGGCGGAGTTAGCAATTTTTACATGCGCACCAAATGCATATGTTGAATAAAACAAATTATTCAAGCAAATATTAAACTTTTATCCCGTTTTTTACACTTAACTTTTACGATTCTTTATGAATGCAGCAAGCAGCAGAAATTATTTTTTGTATAAAAACGAAAAGGACAAACATAACAATGTTCATAGCCATTACTAAACGCCATAATCATCTCAGCCGTCATCATTACTATATTGGCAAACATCAGCACTTCCACTTTTTGGCCCCCGGTCAAACTTTGGCCACACCCTCTTCCCTTATCAAAATTGTTTAGATTCATCCCTGGTAAAATAAAATCTACAAAAACTAACAAAGTCATTAGAATTACAATTTTTAAGATTTTTTTCAACACGGAAAAACAGCACTTCAATTGAATTTATAGTTTAGAAAAATAATGTCTTTCAGTTTTGTTCGTTAATAAAGCAGACGATAGGATTGGTTTTATTATTTTGTTTTCATTTATTTTACTTTCGTTATTTTAGATTAACGATCAATTTAAATCACAGGATTATTTCAATCAGAAGAAAAATTATATTTTATTACATTTTCCTGGAATTACATTTGCTAGATTAATTATATGCGATCAATAAAGCTGAAATAAAATTTTCTATCAAGAAAATTGAAATAAAACAAAAGCAGAAAAAATGCGAACATAATTTATATATAAATTTCTAAACGCTTTTGTGGAAAATTTTGATGAATGAATGAAGCAATTTTGTTGTGAGTGTGCATTAACAGTAGAAAAATATTTTGGCAAGAAGCGTGTTTCACGATATTTTTCGAATGTTTTACGCAACCGTTATTTTAAAATTCTACTAAATTACATACAGATATACAATTGCAGATATTTTATTGGATAATTACTTAAAAGTAACTCAAATCCACATACTTATATCATGTTTGTGGCCTCATTTTTGCATTTCAAGCACTTTCATATATGGGTACCTTATTACCGTTTAATATGTTCATACAAACATTAAATCAAAGACATTTCTGTATCGTGCAAACAAACAAAAACACGCAAACAATGAATGACCATCCACCAACAAACAATGAATGACCATTCACCAACAAACAATGAATGACCACTACTCACATTGGAATGCCTGTTCAGCCTGGTCACTTGGGTCAACAGCAACCACGATCTTCCTTGCAGCCGTCGACATCCCACTTCTATTTATCTTTAATTTTTATTTAAGTTGATATCCAACAAATTAATGAAATAAGTTTAAATAAATTGGGTATAATAACAATCTTGAATTGTAAAATCCAATGTGTATTAAATAGCTGGAAAGGAAATGAATTCAGTGGAAGTTTAATGTTGATTCAACGTCTCCATGAAGTCGTGGCTGTTTTGATTGCGTGCGGTGTAATGACGATGCGTTTCACAATCATTATAAACTGTCGCTTATACTTTGTATATAATATATTGCATGCACGGTCGTATGTATGCTTGTAGATGGTGCGTCAAGAATACCTTGTTCTTGGATTCCATGATCGTGCGTGCGTATACAATGTATGATATATACGTAAACATGCCAGCAAGTCCTTAGTTACACATTTTTCATATGAATATAACGTATATATTAATATTAATTATTACATATATATTAATATTACATACATATTAGCGTTGGATAGTTTATGTATATACATATAAACATATTTATTTATGTATACATACTTATTTATTTATATATATATTCATATAAATACATTTGAATAACATGCAAAGTTAGACATCGGTCGGTCTAGATCGATTTCACTAATTTACAAAATTTATCTACATAATTACTAATCTACATTACTAATCTACATAATTATGAAAAAAAATAAAATAAAAATTATGAAAAAAATGTTAAAATTACTGGCACATCATAGCACCATCTTGGGAGCTGCAGTGCCGTTAAAATCTTCAAAAAAAAAAAAAAATTATAAAACTTTGACCCGTAAAGGGATTACTGTTGAAGCAAATCTAATAATTATTTAGCCGGCAAACGAATGATTCATGGTAAACATAAACAAAAATATTTTCATTACGGCGTAAACACGCAAAATAAATAAACAACGTGATAATGACTAAAATGTCTGATTTGATGGATGCAGAAACGCCAAGTACCGTAACTTCCCCGTGATGGCTCATCTGTACTGCGTATTCTTATCGATCTATTTCGTCACAACAGATCAAAAATTTACATACCATAAGTCAATCAAGGCATGTCCATTTTGATATTTTCAAGTCATATTTGTGTGTTCTCCGATTTCAGCCGTCTGTTTTAACGAGTCTAAGTCCTGTAAATAGAAAAAAGTACAGATAAAAAATGAAATGTCAACAATGTAGGTCATTTTTTTCTTACAATAATTACATTATTACAATCTCTAACAGGTGGACTATAACAAGCCTGGTTGCGTCAAAGGCAGTGGTCGCGAGTATTGGGACGATGAATATTATGATTTAGGACCTTCAGATGAAGAAGTCTATTGCTATGCCAAATTTTACTGTAATATGTGATTAATTGAAAATTTTTATTTTTTGGTTTTAACTAATTGAAAAAATTTAAAGTTTTAAAATGTTATGAACGTTTCGACAAATAAAAACGTGACACGAGACAGATAGTGCCAGTGGCACGAAATCAACCATTGGAGTCAACAGCTCCAGGGATTTTTCCTCCAGCCTCATCAGCCCAGGTGGGTACTCTGATCAATTTTATACCTCTTTTTGACTTAAACTGATCAAAGATAATGAACATTTTTTGCTAGCCAGAATAATAAATAAACAAATAATCAAATCATTTTTTATTCAAACAAAACAATACATATTATTATATATTATATTATTGGGCGTCTCAGTCGCTTGCATTGGCGCTTTATAAATGATATTTATTATATATATATATATATATATATATATATATATATATATATATATATATATATATATATATATATATATATATATATATATATATATATATATATATATATATATATATATATATATATATATATATATATATATATATATATATATATATATATATATATATATATATATATATATATATATATATATATATATATATATATATATATATATATATGAATTAATAAAATCTAAATAATGCAATTTTTATTATTTCTTTTTAATTATTAATGTTTTTATCAGTTGACAAGATTATTAATAAAATAAATAACAGTAAATACTTAAATAAAAAATAATTAAATGTTGAATAAATCGAAATTCGTAGTCACATTCTGCAATGAACATGCATGCAGTCTAATTTTGGTATGCGGTGATATCTTTTTCCATTACACTTAAGTACATGCATGATATGCGTCGTCAGTTTCGAAGACTATTTTTTTAGCTTACTTATCCAGTTTAAAGTTACCAGTTTCAATATATTTTGATAACACGGTTTATTTCACTAATGATCATTAAGTAATAAATAATATGACGAAACACGTTCAATATTTCAATGAAATTAATTTTGTTGCAACTTGTCAATATCTCATAACATCTGTCTTATAAATGAAAAATTAGGATATTACTTTGATCCAAGCGATAACAGCACTTGGACTATTTGTGATTACCCGTTCTGCAACGCATTTTGGAATGCTCACGATAAGATCAAGGCAGCTTCGCGCAATGGCCCATTCATAAGATTAAACATAGGAGTTCGTACATGATTATTCGTTTTGAAAAATTTTGAAATATTAACTAATTCGTTGAAGATGAAATTTTAATGCTTTTGGGTTTCCGTGGCATTTAATTCTATTGTACCCGTTTACCATCTAATCATTTAAACTTACTTTTTGACATCACATCCATCTTTTAAATTTTAGAGACGTCTATCGGTTTTGAACATCGAGTATTTGCGGAGGATGAGTACCACAAGGAGCGCCTTAGATGTTACTGTGAATAGCAAAAAGGAATCAGCCGACATCGCTTTGGAGGAAGAACATGCCAAGACATTGGTAAAACCAAAAATTCTTGGAGGAAAAACAAACGCTAATCGGCACCTGGACTCATCAGATTACAGAACTGTGGATTATACCTTAGATTCCGAATACTATGATGACGAAAGCGCTGCAGTTGTCGTCCTATCAAAGATTTACATTTCATTGTATTGTCTTATTTTGCAAGTAAATTTTGCACATTGACAATTTTTACTTTCTCTAAAGTGTCAATACGAATAAATGATAATTTGATGCACTTGTCTTAGAAACGCTTCATCAAAAAAATATTTTTGACGAGTTCAAATGAGCATCGGGGCGATAAATTCAAATAATTGTAGTGCCGTAACTTTGTCTATCACGTGATGTAACCGTGATGCAACCATGAGATGCAACCATGTGCTGCCGTTACTTCACTCTTAAAACTAATTCCCTTTTCTTTCTGTACATTAACTGAAAATAATTTTTAACTAATTTCGATTTAATTCAACAACTAACTTTTTCAGACACGTCATCTGTACTATGTTCAAATCGAGAACAAATCTTAATTTTTTAAAAATATTTCGGCCTGGCGTAACTGAACTTCATGGAAATAGAATATGACTTCAGAATAACTCTAAAAAGAACAAAGCCGTCAAAAACGAATTGTCGCCGACGCTGATTTTCAAAATCAAATCAAAATTTTTAACGTCACGTAGAATTTTTTATTTTCCGACACGTTGATTCACATAGCACATTATTTTTAATATTCGCCTCGGTTTCGGTCATAAATTCAAAATAACAGGTCAACATTTAAAACCAAATATTGATTGTTTTACTAGTTAGAAATAAAAAATGTGAAACACGTACAAGAAAATTTTTTAAAAGTAAGAAACGATTTGCTAAGTGACACATTATATATCAATAGTTTCCAACTCGGAAACAAAATTATAAAAAAATTTCAGAGCCCTTGAATAGATACAATTCAAAAACTATATGATCACATTCACGATGCATCTTCATTATCTTCAATCTTCGGGGCGAGGTAGTACCTTATGTAACCCATGTCTCCAATCTTGTACTCAACCACTAGGAAATGTCATCAAGATTTTGTAATTATTAATCATTATCACACCCACCATCAAAGCGTTAAAAAATAAAAATGTACCAAACAAAAAATTGACTTTTGACGCTAATTAAAAAATAGCGCCATAAAAAGCAGATATCAAAATAGCAGCAGAAGAACAACAGCCAACCCAGAGGAACATCAGCGGACATGGAGAGACTGACACGTGCGGAGAGAGGAGTGGCTTTGGTGAAGAAGTTTAAATATCGAAGTGCAAATGTTAAGGTGACAGCCTCCTGCATTTCAATGACCACTGCCTCATCCTCCTTGTCCACATTAGCACTTTGCGCTAATTTAATGTTCCCTATTGTTTGAATAATGACAAGTATTGAGCTATACCAAGTAAAGCAAATTCCATTAAAAATTAATAACAGTCAAACATAATAAAAAAATTTATAAATATGAATAACTAATAATTATATGGAATCACAGTAAAAGATTAGTAATAATTAATAACAGCACCAGTTCCAAGATCTCCATTAGCAGAGAACTTGACTCCCTCCTTGGTGCAGCAGATGACCACGGACTCACCAATCTGGCTCAGATCACGGCAAATACGTTGAAATTCAGAAGATGGCAATTTGATAACACAGCTGTAATCTGTCTCCTTCACGAGGCATGACAACAAATTACCATTTACATTTTATAGTTTAAGAAGCCATGAACAATAAATAATGACATACGGGAATGCCAAGATGCTCAGTGTCCAGGTCCATGAGCTTCATCTCATAATCTGACACCTTTTCACCATCTGTTGAGTTAGTGTGACATTTTATAAAATTATAGTGGAAACAACAGAAGCAATGATAATAACGTAATATTAAAAATAATAGACATACTAGGGGACTCGAACATGAATGTGATCGTGTCTGTGGTGTCATTGGCCTTCACTGTTATTGCATCTTCATTACCAGCACATCTCAAAATCTTCGACATGCTGAAATTATGATTAAACATTATTCACAAACTGAAACAAGACAAAATGACAATTAGTTTGTAATGATTGAGTGATTAAAATTGCAAATGTTTTAATTCAACTTCTCAATTTGTCTGGTCAAATTTAAATGTTATAAGTAGACATTTTTCATTATAGTCAAAAATTTACAAACTTATAAAAATCACTATTTAATTTAATTTATTTATTGCTTTAGTTTGCCAGTAACTGTCTGACATTAATAAATGTCAGACAGAGAGGAATTACCTTCCCAGATTAATTCCCATGGAGATGTTGCGATCGCACCTGTATGTGTCAAAGCCATCTGATCTCAAGCATAAGGATACTAAACTGACGTGACTACTGTCCATGGCCTTTAATTAACAAGGTTCAGGTTCAACCAATCAAAATGAGATAATTAGAAGTAATTTGTAATATAAATTCAGTAAATGTGACAATACATAATCCAAATAAACTAAATAATAACTGAATACAACGCAATAAATATTAATAAATAAATAATTGGATAAAAAATTTAATTAAATAAATAAATAAAATAAATTTTATTTAAAATTATTAATACCTGCAAGCTCATACCAGTCCCATTGCAATCCCATGTTGCCTCGTTTAAAAGATCTTTGACGGCCTCCAGAACTTTCTTCAGAAGAGATCCTTGGACCAGCCTCGCTTCAAACATCTTTTTAATTTAATAACTTGTTTCGAATTTTGTGGAAAAGTTGGACAACGACGGGCCTGCCGAGTGGATTACGCACTAAACTGGCGGGAAGAAAGCTTTTACTCAGGAAAAAAATTTGATTCAGAAGACAAAGACAAAAAACGATGGAAAACCATAATTTCAAATGAAAAAAATCAAGCGGCAGTCTATCGATGATGGATTTCGATGACACACATATATATAATATGCTAATTATTCTTTATATATATATGTTCTTATATTTTTAAAATATACTTGAAAAAAGTTGCCTCAGTAGTGTCTTGGAGTAACTTTCCTTTTCATTTTTTAAACTTTCTATTAAATTTTTTTCTTTATTATTCTTTAAAAATCAGGATTTGACAAACGCAAAAACTGTTACAGCATGCAAGACAGTAGTACAAAATTAAACAAATAAGTAAATAAATAAATAAAAATACGGAGAAAGAAAAATATTTTAACATGAAAAATAAAATAAAATAAATTATAAATAATAATGATAAAATAAATAAAATAAAATAAACTGACAAAAAAATGAAGTAATGGCATAAAAACGCAAATTATTATAATAGACTAGATGATGATCTTAGTGAGTTAGTGACGTGATCGATAAATAAAAAAAACTAGTTTTGTGAATGATTAAGTTTTATTGAGTGTGAATATGTTTGAGGTGTCTTGTGATGAAAGCCTTCTCCTGATAAGTAGAAGTAGATTGGGTGGCGGACTTAATAGTTATGCTTGCGTTGACGAAGGTTGTGTGTTGTAGTTTCAATTGGTGGTAGTAGAAGATGAATGACGTGGTTGGTGCTATTTTCTACTTTCTTGAACAGCCTTGAATCGAGTGTGTTGAATATCTGAGTGACGGTAGGATATGATGCAAGTAGATAGTTGAAGCGGATTAGTTTTTTGATGAGAGATAGTAGTTGCTGAAGTTGTTGTTGTTAAACAAAACCAGACCAGGAGGAAGCTGCATATATGATGCATGAGATTATGAGTGATTCAGTGATGTCGAATAATTTGGTGTCTCTGAGACCAGATGTGAGCGGAGTGTTTTGAGTGCGTGAAATGTTTGGAAGCCTTTTTTGATGATGTGATTGATATGAGGTGTTAAATTAAGTGTGGAGGTAAATGTGATGCCTAATATTTTTAATTGATTTGTGCGAGTGATTGATGGGTGTTCTGGAGGTAATGTTATTTTGTTACGGCTATTGTGAATGATGAGTTCGAATGATTTATTGAGATAGAAATTTACATGTTTAATTTTATTTTTTGGTATAAAATTTTTATTTTCTTAGTTATCGATGTGCAATTAGGATGTAGCCTACTATTCAAATTAATGTAAATTTTATAACTATTGTAATTATAATTGATTGAATGATCGTTTAACAACGATTCAGCACGGTATTCGGTCATTTCTTGTTCTCTTGGCATTGGCTGCCTATAAAATATAGAATAATTACTTAATTAAATCTAAATTACTTCCTAAGTAGGCTACTTATCAGGTACTTATCAGACATATTAATTGAGTCTTAACGCCCCCCAGTTTACGATCACCTTTTTGTTCTCACCTTTTCTTAACTTTTGCTAAATTTACATTTGCTTTTTCTGGCCCTTTTCTCTGGATCTCCCAATTTTATTCTCCATCACTTACAAACCCAAGACCCATCTGTTTGCAAAATTTACTTAGGAGCGCTGTTGAACATCGCGAAAAATTGCTTTACAAAATAGTTGATTGATTGATTGCATATATGTAGATTGTAGAATTATTGGCTATCTTCTCTAATTATAATTAATTTACATCTTTGTTTTGGCTCCTTTCGTTTCGTTTGTTTTTTGTTGACATCTTGTTTAGATGAGTGCCGTTTTTTTGGCTTAGTACCCGCAAGTTGAAAATTGAATTGATATTTTTTCAATATTTTATTCCCTAATTCGTCGTCAAGATTGGTAGAATTTACGAGTTATCGGTAAAATATAAAAGTCTAAAAGATTAAATGTTAGTATTTATGTTAATTTAGTAATATAGTTGTCATCAGTGATTTTTTTTAGTATATCTCAGTTGTGTGCATTTTCAATTCTCAATCAATCAAAAAGTAAACTTAACTTGCAGTTAAACACAGTCTTGTCTTCAGTCTGTCAGTCAAACTCGGCCTAGCAATATGTATTTGTTGGTGCATTGTACAACTTGATGTGCTCAAAGAAGCATAAACTTGAGTAATTAACTAAAAAAATAGAAATAAAAGGTGATTTGCCACAAGGAAGAATAGTTGAATTAGAAAAGAATAGGTGCGTTTTTTTATTTTATTAATTAAGATGGTAATTATGATATATATATATATATAATTTAAATTTTAATGAATTTTTGGTTATAATTTTATTTATTTTATAATTTATATATGTATTTTAATCAATTTCATTTTTTATTTTAATTTTACTATGACTACATGCTTTGATTTGATGCAATCAAATTCAGCAAATGACATATAAAATAAATGATGTAAGTACATCACAATTAGATATTATATTAGTAGAGTAAATGATCTGTTTTTATTTTTAATCTTGCCATTCTCTTCTACATCTCAACTAAAATATATTTTAGTTGTTTACTCCTCCTTCTAACAATTTATAATTATAACAAATAGTATTAGCTTTGATTAAATTTACTTCATTTTCAGTTAGTTATACCATAACATAAGTCAATTTTTTCAAACTTTTGGTGTACAAACTCTACATCTTCAGCCATTCCCTATGTATGACAACCTGTTATATTTCCATTATCACATCCTTTACATTACAAGTTATTTGATTGATTGAAGAGTGTAAATCCAGTGGACTGCAGACTTAGACATCTATGATGCCTTAAGGTTCCACAATCTGCTTTGGTCTTTAATGTAAATAATTTCAATGTTTACTAGTTTTGGTTTTAATTCTTTTTTTTCTAAGACTTATTTTTTGCAATATTTGCCTATATTATGAATGTGCTGATGAGTTATTTGACAATACTCAAAAGCTGTTGGTGTTTGTTAGGATGGAAACCTTCATTCAAGATTTCAGTTTATTCTTATGTCACAACTGACAAGCCTCATCAACATTTGAATTTTTTCTATAATTAAATAAATGTTCTAGAAATTTCTTGTTTATGATTTAAAAATTGTCATTCTGGTGCAAAGGTTATTTATCACTTTAACAGTTTAACTTTTATAATGCTTGAGGCTTGTTCTTTTTTGTTTTCTTTTTACCAGTGCACATGAGCTTACTGTAAATGAAAGCAATTCAAATAAAAATATTCAGTTCAAGTATTCATTTCAAGTACATTCATCCTGTATATAAATACTTGCTGATTGTCTGACTACTTACTCACTGTCATTGAACCTAAATGTACAGATGCACATGAATTTTATGAATGCAATTAATATTATAATGTAATTAATCAATTTAAGTATCATGTATTGTACATAAAGATTTGTTATAATGATATAATTATATGTAGTGTATTTATTTACATAATATGCACATATATGGAATAGTTTATAACTTGTGCAAAATTCGATTTATTTATTTTGTGATTCTAATAAGTCAGGATGGAAAAAGACAAGCTTCAGAACTCCTGGCAATTTGGAAAATCAGCACGACTAGCCAACATGTACATGTTTGAGAACAAGCTTTTCACTGATGTGGAGTTTGACATTAAGAGCAGCGACCATGAAGAAAGCACAAAATTGTATGCCCACAAATACATTCTTGTTACAAAGAGTCCTGTTTTTGAAGCCATGTTAACAGCTGACATGCTGGAAAATTCTCGAAAAGATGGCAATTCTTACATCGCAATATCTGATATTGATGTGGAAGGTTTCAGAGAGATTCTTAAGTAATTATATTTTGAATTATTATTGTTGTTGAAGAGCTTGTTGAAGAGATTTTGTGATTAAACAACTCTGAATAAAATGTTTGGAATTTGTCCAGTGAGCTTATGAAAATATTTATATTTTGTCCAATTATTTAAATATTGAAATTTCAGGTATATGTACTCAGATGAAGCAGATATTACTTTTCAAAACGTCACCTCTGTCATGTATGCCTCAAAAAAGTATTTTTTGGAGGATCTTGCAACCATTTGTAAGGATTTCTTATTGAACAACATGGTGCTAGAAAATGTTTGTGAAATATTAGAACATAGTGTAGCATATAATGAAATTGAATTAAGCAACAAATGTTTGCGTTTTATTGGTTCAAACGTTGGATCTGTTTTTAGTCATGAATCTTTTCTAAGCCTCTCCCAATCAGCCCTGGAACACTTGGTAAGTTATGATTATTTGTACGTCAAGAGTGAATCCTGGCTGTATCGTGAATGTATTAGGTGGGCGAAGCATAATTACAAAAATAATCAGGTGGTCAGAGAACCAGATAGCACAGACGTACGAAAAATATTAGGAAATATCATTTACAAAATAAGATATTTAAACATGGCTGCAGCAGAATTTGCTGAGGAGGTAGGTAAACATGACGTTCTTTCAGATGCAGAAAAGTCATTATTGTACTATCATTTGATAATCGGTAATAGACCACCAGTTGATTGTCCATTCTCACAAAACTATCGCGTTTTTAAATGTTCTAGATTCCAAGAAGTTGGAACCTCTAAGCAGTGGTGGTCATGCAACGGTCCGGTTGAAGCTATTGATTTCTCAACAAATGATGATATCAATTTGATTGCAGTAGCTTTGTATGGTGGTAAAATCAAATCAATGCACGAAGTGAAAGTTGAAATATGGAAAGATCAAGACAAACTTGATTCAGTTGAGGAAGTTATACATTCTGATGGATCATCTGATGTTTGCCCTGTTTATTTATCTAAGCCAGTTGAGATTAAAGCAAAAACTATTTACACAGCAACAGCGTCCATTAAAGGTAGGTTATCACACTATGGAACGAGTGGCAAAGAAGTTAATTGTTGCACTGGAGGAATCACTTTCAACTTTTTCAGCTCAGCCAGATCAGTCAATGGCACTAACGTAAAAAGTGGACAGATGCCTGAATTTGTTTTCGAAAAGCTGAACAAAAGTAACCGGTGAAATTTTTTTTTGGCAACGGCATGCCTTCCCATTAATATCTCATGTTATGTTTATACATTTTGATAAGCGTATTCATTTTTCAAGACAGATCTTTACTTATACATAATCGCTTCAAGTAAATAATGTTATTTGTGAGATGAAGTGAACACTGCGAATGTTAATACATTGTAGCATTTTTCGCGTTATTTTAATCTAATTATATTGATTTTAGCTCTGATATATTTCCAATTCTTCCAAGGCATTAAATACATGCACGTGCCTTTAAATCATTCGCTGTGTTCAAATCTTTCCCAAAATGTATGTTTTTGCAAAATATGCCAAACAAATTTATCAAAAAAAATTATTTTATGATTCCAAACATGTGCCAATCATTCCTGTCCAATTACAAAACTGGATATTTGCGTCAGATTAGAATTCAATAACAAAAAACAAGGAATATTTACCAAATAATTAATAGGAAATGTCAAGTAATGTAATCATGCCAACAGCGTTGTTAGGTCAAGTTTATAAAATTTAACAAAGCGGGACTGGTTATCGAATCGTTCGCTCGTTTGTAGTTTACTAACAATAATGATTAATTTTGTAGTCTACTAACAATAATGATTAATTTTTAAAGATTGATGATTTCCTTGACGGCAGACACTATGCTCTGAGCATCAATGCCAAACAAGGCCAGTAGTTCATGAGGTTTGCCACTTCTTGGAACTCCATTCACAGCTAAATGTTTGATGATTATGTTTCTTTCCATTCTCAATGAACTGGTTACGGCCTCACCAATGCCACCTAAAATAATTTAAAACGAATTCAGCTTAAGTCGTAGATTATTTCTAAGAATAACAGTAGACTCTTTGAATTCAATGCTTAAAAAACTGTTTACTATCGCTTGATTTAGACTCTTAAACTATATTTGATTAACATTTGGTTCATTTTTATTTGAAAAAAATGTATATAGGTGGTTTCAATACCTTCTGGGTAATGATCTTCAACCACCAAGATTCTTCCTCCAGTTCTTTTGGCACAGCACAAGATGGTGTCTCTATCGATGGGCTTGATGGTGAAGGGATCGACGATCTTCACACCAATTGATGACTTTGCAAGTTCATCTGCCGCTTTGAAAGCTTCCACCAACGTGACACAAGCAGCAATAATCGTAACTTGATCAGAGTTAGACTCACGCAATACCTTTGTGATAAATATTATAAAAGGTTAGGCTAATCATAAGTAACCAGAAATGTCGTTGGATGCATACCTTAGCTTTTCCAATTTCAAATTTTTCATTGTTATCATAAAAATGTGGAACAGTGGGTCTGCTTGTTCTTATGTAACAAATACCTAAATTTATTTATTAATAACTGTTGTTAAAGCTAATAAAATATTTAGTAATTTATTAAGTAACAATTAAATTGTTAATTATTTTTACCTTTTGTGTTAGCTGCAAGTTCAACAGCTCTCTCGGTAGAAACAGCATCACTTGGGTAGAAGACAGTGCACGTTGGTATGGCTCTAAACATAGCCAAGTCTTCAAGACCCATCTGTGAAGGCCCATCCTCACCTGCAGCCAAAATGCATTCATACATTTTACAATGTTATCATACCGACTAAGAACTCATTAAATAGTTCAAGCATGATCAGTAATGTTTTTAGTTTTGAAGTTTCTTACAGAGACCCCAAAAATTAAGATAAGGATAAAAATGTGGTGCTTCACAACCAGCATTATCAAAATTGTATTCAGGTTACCATTGCAGAAAAAAGAATAGAGTTTAAAAAAATTTGTACCTACCTATAGAAACTCCACAATGAGAGCCACAAAAGTTGGCATTTGTTTGAGAGATTGCTCCCATTCTTATTTGATCATAAGCTCTTGAGAGAAAGCAAGCAAATGAACTGGCAAATGTGACACACCTATTACGAGTTGCACAACCAATGGCCACCCCAACAAGGTTTTGTTCCGCAATGAAGCATTCTATGAATTGATCTGGTCTGACCTCCTGACAAGAGTAAATGTCAAAAAATAAAATAACAATTGAAATTAAAAAAAGACCACATAACTATTAACTCTATTTTAAATTGTTAGTTGCACCACTTGTTAAGAAGTGTACTACAAAAAAGAGCCTCTGGAAAGCTCCACAATGATGGCATGTGTAGACATGTTCACCTTGAGTTTCATAGAAAATGTTGAGTTTTTCATATCTCCATCTAAGGCTATTAGACGATTGTTGACCTTTCCCAATCTAGCTAATGCATTGCCATATGCTTGCCTTGTAGCAACCTAGTAACACAGTGATCAAGTTATAATTATACCAGCATTGACAAAATCAATATTAAGGAAACAAAAAGAACCCTAACTCCAGTTTTGGAGCTTCTAACTCAGGTTTTTTAATTATAAAAGTATCTAAAATTTAACTAATAAATATTTTCAAGAAATCACAAAAAAACAACATAGGTCAGGCAAACAATATATAGAAACTAAAAAATATTTCTGTACAATCTATTGTAAACTATCACATACTCACACATTCTCCTTTTTTATAAGAAGGGCTTCCATCAATTTTTATTTGACCAAATTCCATTTCAGTTATATTCTCCAAAGGGGAAAGAGGTTTCAGATTGTGTGGTGCCCAATTGGTCACTTTTTGTTTCAATTCCTCAAGAACCTCTTCTGCCTTGTCACCAAGTGGCTTGCCATGCCAATTGTCTTGGTCTTCAATACTTGAGATTCCCTTTCCTTTGAATGTTTTTGCCAAAATGCAGAATGGCTTACCCTAAGAGTTTCAAAAGATTAAAATAGAACAACGCACTAGGCAATGTCATAAGTGCTAAAGAATTCATTAGTGAACAAAAACTTTGTTTAAAAAACATATATAAACTAACCTTTAAGTTTGCAGCCTTTAGGAATGCTTTGCATAGCTGTTCAACATTATGACCATCGACGACTTCTGCATGCCACCTTCATAATAAAAAAAAAATAAAATTCTGTAATAAAAGAGTTTTACATTATAAAAAAAAATTATGGTTTCTCAACATAATATCACTAAACTAATGCAGAAAACAAACCCAAATGCTTCAAATCTTTGTTGGTAGGTTTCCATATCATGTTGCAGTGACGTTGGCTCACTCTGACCAAACCTATTGATGTCAATGATTGCCACCAGGTTGTCCAGATGGTAGTAACTTGAAAAGTGGATGGCCTCCCATATGGACCCTTCAGCACTTTCTCCATCTCCAATCAAACAAAACACTCGGTACCTTAAGAACAAATCATTTATTATGCTAATACAAGCCATTTGTAAAACATTAAATTATAAAATTATAAAATATGTATCTTAAATATAGGGAAACTTATAGCAACTTTACATTTGACATAATGACAACTTATTTGAGAAGGCAATACATACCAACCTTTGCTCTCAAGATGTTTTATATTCTTAATTTCTATCAACTTTAACATTATAATAAGTCAAATTGAAAACTGCATTGCTACCTAAATATATACAAACACACACACACACACAAAATCAAATATTATACATTGAACATTCAATTATATATCTATATATACATATTATTCATGATATATATATATATATATATTATTTCTATCTATATTTTACTTCATTTTTATGAGCTCAGCACCCACACTTATATGAATATAAATTTTGCATAATCTTTTTCATCTGTCCTATTATTTCATTATTTTGGTAACAATTAGATTGACTTTCACCAATTTTAGGTTCAATGGGATTGCTAAATGACATCCAAAACAAACCACAATCAATTTGTTGTGTGAATCATAATAAGATCAGTGCTCAAACATCATGTATTATTATAGTGGACATTTACTTGAACAAAATACCAAAACAAATTAAAAGTTAACGGTCAGTAACCACAGTTACAAATAACACAAATTGAAGCAAGATTTGTAATGAAAAGAAAGGAAACAAACTTGGCTTTGTCTATGTATTTAGCAACATAAGCCATGCCAGCTGCACAACTGAGTCCCTGACCCAGTGATCCTGTTGCAACATCAATGAAGTTCAACCTCTGGATCAGTGGAGGAGTTGTTCAACAAACATTTCAAAACTTAATATTATACATAATTACATATTGAACAATTAATCTAATTTTTATTAAAATATATATTTTTAAATAATCAACTAAAATTTTCAAGTATAAAATTAATGTTCAGCATTGCAATTGGGAGGTTACATCATAAAAATTCTCTAGCATTTATAAACAGTGGAAATATAAAAAAAATGGAACAAAAAAACTGATGAGAAGGTATATGAATGAAGTGAAGAGCATGGCATAAATAAATAATTGCAAATGTGTTGAGTGCAAGAACATGAGTCAAAACTTACAGGAGTTGGGTGTCCCTCAAGATCTGAATCTAAGGTACGCAGTTTGTTGAGGTCCTTCACATCCAGCAGGCCCACCTCTGCCCACGCCGCGTACAACACTGGAGCTGCATGGCCCTGTTGTGTTGGTGTTCAACATCCAAAATAAACTTTTGCACAAATATAAATCATACATCTTACATGTACATTTCTAAATTGAGTTGCAAGTAAATGCTATTAAGTTAACCTTTGACAGAACAAATCTATCGTTGCAAGCACTTCTCGGTTCAGAAGATTTGTACCTCATGGCATAGAAAAAAAGAGTTGACACAACTTCTGCTGCAGAGGCACATGATGTTGGATGTCTAGTTGTATGATCACAAACATAAGCATGCATAAATTGAATCAACAGATATCATTCAAATTTTAAAAACACAAATTTTTCACATTCTTACCTGATGCACAGTCTAATACACAGTAAAAGATAGCTTATTTTTAATGTTATTACACAAATTATCAGTTATTCAATCTTTAAAATTTTAATTTTTGGCTACTGAGTTAAAAGACTAATCAACAAGTTTAAATTGGAAGAGAAAAAAACCTTTTAAAAATCTTTTATTAATTTTTATTTAAAAAAATTTATTGATTTTTACTAAAGATTAAATCAAGAAATCTGGTTAAAACTTTGATTGGAATCAGACTAGGTTAGATAATTTATTTTATGCCTATGGATGTTATCATCTATTTTTATAAATAATAATTAAGAGAAAAGATGAACTATCTTAGGTATGATAACAAATATAAAATTTCATTTTTCAAACTTTCATCTTAAGTTCAAACAAATGATGAAATATAAATTTTTTTTTATTTTTTATTAGTCTTTATTATTGCAGCTCTGATATACGCAGAACCACTTACAATGTTACAGATATATTATGTTATCTATATATCTTTTATTATGTTCTTCTTTTCTTCATCTATTGATTTGAAGCAGCCATCTTTTGCCATAAAGGCTGTTTATCCTTTTCACACGACGTACACATGTATCTATGTGCGCTCGCAAGCACCGCATCATATACGCTGAGTATATGATAGCCATTGAGATGTTTGACTCAGCGAGCATTTGAACCACCGAGCCATCTCGCCAGCCAGAATGCGACAACTTACGGCATCTACCCATTTACCAACCTTGAAAGGATGGATGGCTGGGTTGACCGGGGGTCGGCTACCCGGATGAATCTGTAGAAACTGCAGAATTCGAACCCGGGTCGTGGGAGTGGTAGACGGACACGCTAACCACTCGGCCATGAGACCCCATAAATGGTTTTAATTTAAAATTTGTAACTACTAAGTACTAGGCTACACTACATAAATGTGCAAACTGCAAAAATGGTAAGGAAGTTCAGTTGTATAAAACCTTTGAATATAAAAAAAGGTCCTGTCTGTTTAGTATTCATCGACTGGTCTGAAACACGCGGTCCGCAAATTGAGCGTTTATTGATAATTTTCAAATTTGTAAAATATTTATTAAATTTGAAAAATTAAAAAAAGTAAAACCACGAGGTCATGACTCACCCAGAATTGCTGGCATTCGTGGAAGTAATTGAGTATATTCTCAACTTGTTAGCAATATTCTGCAGTGTTTCAACGAAGGAAGCGTTTATTTGCGGATAGTCTGACATTTTCCTGGATGCCGAAGATGCCAATCTCACTTGTGACAGAAGCGACCTGGTTAAAAAGTGTGCGCGAACAAAAACCATAAATACATATATATAGCTTTTTAGGCTGCTGAATATATAAATGTTAATCTAAGTTTTAAGCCGATATGCATGATATTTAGAATCTAAGTCTAAGTAGAATCTAAGTTCAAGTATCTAGAAACCGCACAAAACACACTAGAACCTTGAAATCATCTTCTATCTTATAAAATATAAATTTATATTTCAAGGAAATCATTCGAAAATATATTTAATGAAGATAGTTTATTACAATGGAATTGCCATGAATAATAATTTTTTTCAACATTTTTTTCCAATTTCATAAAGACAAGATTAGAGTATTTGAGTCAATATTATTTTGATAAACTTTATGAACCTAGCATTATTTCATTCTATCTTCCTTAACCTTAAAATTTTAGACTGGAATTTTACCAATTACCAGGTTTATTAAAAGCTGGTATTTGCAACATTGATTTCAGTCATACGTTATATTTTATACAGGAAACCTTCAGTGGCTTTGCGACAACGCTGATTGCATGTACTATTGTTTAATCCTCATACCAAAATTCTATGCACATAACTTATTTCTAACTCATCACTTTTACTAGTTTCTTCTTTAAGCTCAATCATCAGTTATGCAATCATACTTACTTGCTAATTATTTTAACTTTTGTAGATCCAACACTCTACATCCTACTCATCACTTGTACTACTTTGTGTTGATATTGATATCTAGTATTTTTCTCACTATAAACTTTACACACACACACACACACACACACACACACACACACACACACACACACACACACACACACACACACACACACACACACACACACACACACCACACACACACACACACACACATCCAGTTCCAGATAAATATTATGTTGGTGTAATTATATAATGATGTAAATGCTTCCAGATTGAAAATCATGTTAAGTGGGTCAAGCAGTAGAATCAAGGTACCTATGTGTAATGCAATACATAGCAACTTATTGCATAATGGCCTTCCTACATCTGCTTTATATTTTCAGATATTTTGTCAATTTCTCCGTCTAAACACTTGAACTCTAGTTTCTTCTTTTACATTGGTTATCTTTTAAATTTAAAACTATAGGGTGTTCTCTATTTTGAGTTAAATTTTTAAGTATTTTTCAAAAATACTTCGTAATAGTTGGAATATCTGAATTTTTCTTAGGAGAAGCTAAAATTAGGGGTTCAAGTTTATTTGTGGAAATAACGTTATATATAAACAATGTTACGAAATTTGTGGGGGGCTAAAGATGTTTGTTTATATATAATTATATGGGCACGGGCATGTATGCGAAGATTTATAAAGTAGTTGGTCCTACTCATAAAAAAAAGTTATTCTCATTTCTTTAGTGTTCATTTATTCAACAGCCCTCCTTGATGAATTTTGCAAATGAATGGGTTTTGAGATCTGCTCTGAGTTTCGTAAATGACTGAAGTAGTCAGAAAAAAAATTTGAATGCAGAAAATTTTTTTATTCTTTTTGGAATTTTTAACAAGGCAATTTTGATTAGATTATATATAACTCCTACTAAAACGCATGTTGACAAAATGTTTTATTCAATTTATATTCGAAAAAAATAATATTTCACTTGTTTGAAAAAATTTAAATAAAATTTTTTCTGAGTAATATATGACTAGGGCAAATATTGAACTGTTCTTACTATTCCAAGAAAGAACTATTTGAATCGCTAACAAGACGGTAAATCTTTTGTTTACAACGAAAATAAATGAACAGAATGTCGAGAAGCACTACTGGACGGACGTGATGTAGTAAGATTTGAGATTCTGCTTAAGAAGACTTATCGAAATTTTAACGTACTTTGAATTGAAACAATTTTGACTTGAAAAAAATTTAGAATTTTCGTAATTCAAAATTAATTTTCAAAAACGAATAAAAACAAGAAAATAATAAATAATTGTTCTAATGTTCTCGCCTCAAATTATTCTTTTATAACTATATAATAAACTGTTCAGAAAATATATTCGGAGAGGATGGAGGTACAATTTCAAAACAAATGAAGATGACTTGTGAAACATGACAATAATCCATATTTTGTTAACACATCGACTGATTATTTTATTATTAACAATAAAATATATTAAACGAATATAATTTGGTGATGATAAACTCACCGTCACAGATGATATATAAAGTAAGGTAAAGATAGCTAACTCAATGATGAGCTTTATAAACAGACATTTTAGATTTTTTGATGAAGAAGCTTACTTATGTTTGTATAAAAGTTTGGTCAGACCACATCATCAGGAGTATGCAGTTTAGGTTTGGAACCCATATCACATGAACCTCATCCATATGATTGAAAAGGTTCAAAAAAGAGCCTCTAGATCCATCTGTTCTTGTTTTGGTTTAGAGTATAGTGACAGATTAAAAAAATTGAACTTGCACTCTTTGAAATATCGAAGGAGTAGAGCTGACTTAATTTTTTTATATGAAATGTTGGTGGCCCATCCTGATGCTGATCATTCATTTCTGTTGGGCAGTTGTGACGAAAGAACAAGAGGGCATCAAATAAAGATATCTACAGGTCTGTCCCAAAAAGATGTCAGAAAAAATTTTTTTGGCAACAGAGTTGTCGCAGACTGGAATAGACTATCACAATCCGGGATTGGCTCTCCAAATATATATATATGTGTTTTTAAATCTCGTTAAGATTTGTTTTGGGGTAACGCTAATTTTTTTTTTTGAATTGATAGGTACGAATGGATTGAATCGATACCTTTAGACTATCGGTATGACTTGACTTGAATGATCATGGATGGTTGTGAATGAATGGATGGTGCAATATTTAGTACGATCATTTATTCTGCGGGCAAATGGGATTGCCCCATCGTGTTTGATATTTATTTTGCAATAACGAATCGGTATATGAATGATTGATTTAATGCATTTATTTTAATATTTGTTTTATAAATATATGTATGTGTGTGTTGCACTTATAATTATTTGTATGGTAATGTTTTATTTTTGTGAAGGTATTTTATTTTTACTAACTCCATAAACTATTTTTGCTGGCTTTCTTCGAATCACCCGTTTTTACGATTGAGCATATCAGCTGTTGCAATAGTATGAATGGGTATAGTGATGATGACTGAATATTATAGTTTATTGCTTATATATATATATATATATAGGTGTACGATTGTATATATATATATATTATATATGTGTTTGTGTATATATATAAGTGGTTATATTTTTTGATCTTATGGTATCTGGACATATTTTTTTTCTTTTGCTTTTTCTTTATTATGTTATAGTAGAATTATTTCTTTTTAATATTGTGGTTTAAATGTATTATTTTCTCTGTAATTCGACAATGGGCAGTTGCCCGAGCTTTGTTCAAATAAAAAAAATAACCAGAAGTATGATGAGATGATGGAATAACTGATTGATTGATTAGTGATGATGATGAGGAGGATGTGATGTTTCATAAAATATGATATTGTATTTCAGATTGAGGATGGCATTTCACTCAACAACATCTCCCATTTCCACACAACATGCAAGTATATTATAAGCACTGCAAACAGATAAACACGCCATCCCCCGTTAGCCTACTTTGACACGGAGAATAAACAACGTGTCGTCGTTATGGCAGCGAAACAGAAAGCCAGAAAATACTTTAAACACTGTGTTCCCTTTTGTCTGATGTTTGTTCTGGCAGGAATAAGTAAAATAGCAGGTAGCAAACACATATATACACAAGTACACACAAACATTCACCTGTATGCACACACACACATAAAAAGTATTAAGAATTGAAAGGGAGAGAACATGAAAGAATTTATGAAGATTCTCTTTCATAAAAAAATGACTTTCCAAGGTGTTGAACAGTGTTCCTAGGATCTTTCTTGGTTATATTTATAAATATATGAAATATATCAGGTTAAAACATGCAGGCACACTGTTCAAATATTTCCACTATCATACCAACAACTTAACTGCTGCCAAAACATCAGTGCGAAAATGTATGCCGAGTGCTCTTTATTTCAAACAAAAATTTCAAAAAGATGGTGATGTGATTGTGAGACCCGAGTGAAAGAAAATAAATTTTTGTGTGGCAGGCCACCGTTTACTAATCGTTCAAAGCGTCAAAAATTCTTAATATCGTTATAACAAAATTTACCTCAACAAATACCGCAACATTATTTTCTCAAGTTATAATAAATTAACTTAAATTTAAAACAAAAGTCAAAAAATACAAGATTCTCATTAAACAAAAATTGTACTTTTTTCAATAAATATTTATTTATTTAATTTTTCAACACTGAATTAGTCGTTCTTATTTCGATAGGTTATTTTCCCCCAGATTTCTGGACCAGTGTGTTTCAAACTGTCACCAAGCAGTGTTCTCCTTGCAAGTGGAGAATGGTGCATAGGAGAATGACTTGTGAACTTCGACCGCACAACATTTCCAAACACAAAAAGTCACTAAAAGATGTTGAAAATTGTTGTTGTAAAAATTGTTGTTGTAAAAACAAAAATGGAAACATGATAATTATTCAAATTTTTCAGGTTTAAGATTTTCAACTCAAGATAATAACCACACCACAACCACGGCCCACCCAACAACAAGGGATAAACAATATAAAAATTTTATGGATGATATACAACAAATTAATTGAACAATTTTTGTGATGAAAACGCATCAATTTGTTTTTTTTTTATTGAATTAACTTTGCTCAATAGATAGAATATTTTCTGCCTTAGTTTTTATTTCCCTATATTGAGCTTGAAAATTTATTTTTTTTTTGGTTTAAATTAGGGTAATACGCATAACTTTCCGGTCTTACTTCTAAATACCACCAGCCACGTACTTATAATTAAATTACAACGGCACTACACACCCAACGGCGTGCAAACACGTCTTGAATGTACGCAAAAGCACCGCGTCACACAAGCC